TTTGCTATATCATTGTGAATCATGCTTATTGATAACGATTCAAAATATCATTTTGGTTGATTTTGGTACACAATTTGTTAAGTTACTATTTGCTTATTTTAGATGGCCATCAACCACTTCTTCTGCAATATTTAATTATATCTCGTGTCTATTATGCAGGCTGCGTGTGCCAAACTCTCTACAACTTATTCAAATATGATCAGTTTTTTTTTATTTAAATGTGTGTTTTTCTATTTTGTCTCCATTAAACATACAGTTACATACATTATTATTATTTAATATAGCAAACATAGTTTCATATTAGCTCTGAGGAAATTTTTTTTTACATGAAATTTATTGCTAATTTTTGCGATATCCGATCATTTTTCCATTTTAATCGTATTTTAAAATCATTTCTATTTTCACCAAAATCTCTATATCTCGTTTCACTCAATTGATTATTGATAAATTTACTTTAACATGGCTATAAACTGAAACGCATTGTGCATGGATATGCAAATATGGGATGCATAGGGCGATTCTCAATATATAATGTCTTTGATCATGACGCCATACAAAAATATTATGAAACAACTGCATAACATCCACATGCTAATGGAGATAACAACCAAATATTTTGAAACAATATTTATTTTTTAACAAGATAATTTTTATAATTCAGCATAGGGTTAACGTATTTCAAACAACGTGCGACAGAAAATTCATTAAAGAATTATAGAAAATGTTCATGATATGAGCAACCATAAAAAAAATTCACTATGCTGTTGTCTCCATAAGAAATATATTGCTGTATAAAATGCTTATGCAAAATTATCAATGCCATGTGTGATATTCAGTCATATGTAGTATTTGGGATATTTTCACATAGCTCTTGAAAAAAAAACTCCGAGGTGTCAGTTGCGTCGCACTATTTTTTGCATGAACAGAATCGCCCTACGATGGGATAATAATAAAATAAAATCCAGCCTAAACCTTCCGTTCAATGAACAATGCACATTATTTATTTAATCATGGTTATTTCTAATCGAACACATTTTCTGTAGGCTTTTCAATTATTTCTACTGTGAATCAGTGAATGCTTTTGGTACAAACACTTTTTCATGAATTGAATAAACGAAACCAATTTGATATATAGTGATAACGAATGAAATAAAAACGAAAATTCAAACTAAAAAAAAAGTCGTATGATGAACAGCACAGATGAGATACCACTTTACTATTCTACTATATGTTCAGTATACTAAACGATTACAATGTAATATTTTTTGGTTATTGGAGTCATTGCTGTATAAAAAAATGTACATATATTTTTTGTATTCTCACATATTTCATTCGTTTTTTTGTTGTTGTTAATTTTTGTCACGTTTAATCCTAATAATATATTGCCAAAAAAATTGTATTCAACTCTTTCTCGTCAGTTTCAGTTGTTAAATTGTATAGTTATTCGTTTTGTTTTATTCATTAGATTTTCACGTGGTGTTTACATGTTTGTTGTTGTGGAGATGAAAAAATGAAGTGTGTGTAAATGAAAAGAAATCGACGTGTGTTGAAATTTTCAATTAATATTCGAAGTTAATTTTACGAGCACAATATTCTTTTTCTTTCCATTTGAGTTGTTGTTGCAACACTATTTTGATGTTTCGATTTCGTTGATAGATTTATTTTGAAGAAAATGTGTAAGCGTAGGAGTTTTGCTCGTTGTATTATGAGCATTGAACAATGTTTGGAAGAAAACCAATGCTAAAAAAACGTTATAAGTGCAAAAAATACGAAAGCTAACTTGTTTCAGATTGATTTTCTTTTACGATGACTGTTGGCTATTGATCGAATTTTCTCGATAAAATGTGTAAACAAATTGACGTTTCATTTTTTTCATAAACACATGTTTTTTGCCACTTGCTGTGAAATGGTGTACAAGAAAAATTGGGTGAATCGGTGGTATTTTCATATTTTTTTTGCGTATGTTTGTGTACATAGAAAAAAGGTATGCGGCTTTAAAAATGGGGTGAATTCCATGATCGATTGGTGGGCTTATTGTAATACCAGTTGAGATGTTCAGGCTGAGAATTGGATTATTTCATGGAGAAATGCCATAACAAACGTTTAATTCAACGCACACAGCAACATTTATACCAAATCAAGTCAAAGTAAATGTGAAAGTCTCCGAATCTCTATGTGTGCGTGTTTATAAAGGTCGGGGATAGAGAGACAGAGAGTATGGGGGATGGAGAACGAAAAAGAGAAAAAAATCGGACGAGAGAACGGTGGTGTGTGCGCGTGCAAGGAAAATGATGGTGCAAAGTGATTCATAAACATCACAGCAAGTACACATTCAATTTGTATACATAAATCTTATTGTATCCGTGTGTAATTTGGTTATATTTCACAAATTGATGAAAATGGTGACAGATGATTGATTGGCATACCATTTTCACATGGCCTGGTATACATACATCCTGTACACATGTCTACATCATATTGTGTGAGAATGCATAAAGGAAAAACCTGATGCTTGCATGAAAGAAAAAAAACACCTTTTGAATACAACACCTGTAATCTGTAAATAATAATAAACAGCATTGATATGGGCATTTCATTGAAACTTAGGCTCGTATTATGGATCTAATGCATGTATAAAACAATATTTGTCACAAATAATTCACGGCTGTGATTCACGCAACCAAACACAATGTGATGCGAGATCAAATGCTACAACTGGATGTTTTCACAATCACATATAAAATAATATATATTGACTATAAATTATTCGTTGTTCAACATGAATTTCATTTGTTTTATTACTGCTTTTATTTTTCTCACTCTTTCCACTTTTCGTATTCGAGTCTATGTTTTCGAATAATCAACGCCTATTTTGTAAAACTAATGCTTTCAGATACACAATTTGAGCAAAATTGGTGGATGATGGTGATAAATGGTGTAGTTCGATTTTGAGTGGTTTACTTGTGCCATGGATTCAAATAAATGTATTATTACCCTTATTGACTGCATAGGTACAACATTTTCTTCATCAACAAACCCAAAGATTTTTTTTTTTGCTCAGAAACTTGCTTGAATGAATAGAAAATTGAAAAAAGTAAAACATTATTGTAAATGCGTAATCGTTAAACTTACGCTTCAAAACTCAATGTTAATCACCACGTTTTATTCAGTTGAGCCTTAAAAAACGACAGCTGAATCAAATGTTGCTCGCCAATGTCTCATCGTTTTTGAGAAATGAAAGAAATCAGTGAATCTTAATTGTGTATGTGACAGGTAAACAAATGTTTTTGTTTGACAACAAAAGTGTGACCCTTTTGTTATACCTCTCGAAATTTCTTTTACACAGATTAAATTCTACGCTTTTGCTAATTGGGTTGTTTTCATGTTTTCAAACTGACTAAAACCTTTTTACTGTTTTTTTTTTTTCATCAATATCAATCCAAATCGCTGAATATTTTATAAGAATCAATGAATTTGCATCAGTGTTATTCGTTTGGTAAAAAGAGTGGAAAAAAGTTGAGCAACCCCCATGAATGCTCGCACAAAATGTGATAAATGCATTAAAATGTTCTATTCATTTCACATGAACACACAAGTACAAAGAAAAAAAAAAAAGAAACGAAATCGCGAGAGAGATGAAGAAAAGGTGCGTGATGACAATGGATTCTGCTTAATGAATATGAGCAAAAGGTAACGTACACTGAAAACGAAATGTATGGCGCGCTCTTGTGAATTAAAAAAAAAATACATTTTCTCCCCCGACATTTGTCGAGGCGATGAATATTTTGTTGATTTTTATTGCTGTTTGATTGCATTTTTAAACTTAACCAAAATCATTGGCGACCATAAACACTTTCGTCTTTAGCTTCTTTATTGTTTATTTGATATTCGACATATTAAACATAGATTTTATCTCGCATTCGTTTATTCGTCACTCGACAAATACTGGTTAAATGTGGAAATTTTGCATCTTTAATTTTTACTTCTTCTTTTCTCTCCGTTTCATTCGATGCAAATGAGCTTCTTTCATTGGATTGCATTTGTTTCATTTGTTGATGTGAATAATAAATGTTTTACAACGGTTTTCGATGCAAGATAAACAAAAAATCTACGAACGAAAATAATAGCCATCAGAGCGTACCAGAAAAGGAAGACAGGGTTACTGTTTCATTTATTGAGTGATTTACGGTTGAAGACTCCTTTTTTTACAATATCTTAAGTACATGATAATTCATATTTGCTATTATTCATTTCTTTAATTTAAATAGCTACGGTTTAGTTGAAACAAACGGATCAAATGGTGCCTGAATGCAAAGTAAGTCTGCATTCATGCAACATAAAATGAAAAATCAGAAACAATTTTATAACTAAGCATCGAAATGTCATAAAAATATACAAATCAATAGTTACACGTTTTTTTGTTGAAAAATTTACTAAAAAAACAAAAGTGTGAAAAATGCCAAATAAATCAATATATACAAGGAAAGAAATCAATATAAACAAACACCACCACAGAAATTAAAAGCAATGTTAACATTTTTTTTTTTTTTGCATTCTCTATTCATTTTGTTAGGCTTCTGTGCTTAACTCGTAGCATATACAAAAATAAAACATACAAATTTTGGTTTAGATTCCTTTTAAATTCTATTTCATTCGCAAATATGATGCGCTTTTGTGTCTTGTTCCTTTGTTTTTTTCATTTAAAAATGCCTTTTGTAAATAGTTTTGTTAGTTTCATCAGCTGTATCCGTTGCTTCGTTTTTATAAATAAGATTTTTTTTTTTACTTGGCGTTTAAATTATACTTTTAATATTTATACCATTTATTTTGTTTTTGTTTTTGTTTTCATCTTTGAGTAATATATCTCTTACGCTCGCGTTTCACGCGATTATTATATGGTGTCTACAGTTTTTGTACTGCCAATATAAATATAAGTATTTGCTACAAATGCACCGAAAACGTAGAGTAGACTCTTACCGAGCGGATCATGAACGTTGTTCAAAATACACCGAAAAAAAAACACATATATAAAGTTTCGAAAAAAAAAATAAAACTATAAAAACGCAGGACCGTGCATTTATCCGCATTATCTTCAGCAGAATATCCAAAATTGGCGTTCAACTTGATTCGAACATCCGCGCACATTCCATTTACATTCTATGTGTATGTATGTGCTTTTTTTTCATTTATTTAAATATATTGCAGTTTGGTTTTTGTTACTTAGATTCAATTGCACACGATTTTAATTATTATAAACTTTCAGTTAGTTGTTCGCTGGCTCTGCGCTTTTGATGATGTGCCTTTAGGTAGCTTTCCGAATAAACACTTTTTGCACGACTATCGTATCGTAAGCTTGAGCGTCGATTATCTAAATCCAATTGTAAACTGTCACGTCTCCACCACGCACAAAACAAACAGTTTAACGTACTCTTGAATGCTTCCCGAAAATCACGATTGAAATATGCATAAATTAATGGATTTAATGTTGAATTGAAATAACCAATCCAAAATAATATTGCGACTAGAACTTCTGGCGACGGGCAAGTCACGCACAACGATGTGGTCAAATACCTACGTTTCGCGGCCGAACAATTTATGCGAAATAAAAAAAAGAGAAGACAGAAAAAAAAATGTGAATGGATTAACAAAAATAAGATAATGAACAGTTTAACTGATTTTAAAATGCAACATTTTGTGTGTGTGTGTGTGTGTTATATTCTCCACACAATATTACACGAAAGCGACAGTGATATATTTGAAAACAAAAATAAAGAACCATTGCAAAGCTCCTTTTCTGACTGAGGTAAATTCCAATTCAATACTTACCACACAAAAAATGGTAACCAACATAATATGAACGTTCCCATGATGATTCCCAGTGTGCGGGCAGCCTTATGTTCTCTTTTCATTTTGATCAAATGTTTATCTTTAGTTGGTGTATGATCTTGATCCACTTCATTCAATGTTAACATTCTCGATGAACCTGATCCGCTTAAAGCCTCACCTGTGCATATGTAATCGAAGAGATGAACATACGAATAAATTAGCATATTTGCTTCATGATTGTCAGCACAAAATAAGAATGCAAATTGAAAATTCCCAATGATTATGAAGTGTATTTTCCTAGGTATTTTCAATTGAAATAATAGCATGAACGCCCAGCCCAAACCATGAAACAATTCAAATTTTCAATCGAAAATTAATGTTGTTGGTGGTAAAATTGGAAAAACGAAACCGCAACTAAATGAAACGAAATGAATTCACACACAAAAAAACAAACACACATCATTCATATATGAATGTGCGGGCAAAATGTGTCGGGAAATGAAGAGTCCGAAGCAGAGGCGGTGGTTATGGGCCGTGAAATAAATAAAATCAACACATACAAATACAACAAAACTAATTTTCGATGTTTATGTATAAACATTGATTTGGTATTTTGTGCTTACCATACGTACCATTCGTACCACCAGCACTTGAGTGGCGATGCATTAACATTGCATTGCCTTGTCGTGCCGCCAATTGCTTTTCTTGTCGATTTGCCTCCCGAAATATAGCCAAATAGGTGAATATCATGATGGTGCATGGAATCCAAAATGATATCGAACTCGATATTAGCGCGTACCAGATGTTCACTTTAAATAGACATTCGTCCGGTTTTTGTATTATTTCCTCTTTATGTTCTTTAGTTGTATACCATCCAGCAAATATTGGAATAAATGATAATAGCGCCGGCGATATCCATGTATTCAGTATCATGATGGCAACTACTTTTTTTGTTATGGTCTGAACATATTTCAATGGTTTGACGATTGCATAATATCTGTTCAAAAACCGATGAAAACCATCGAAATGAGACCGAAAAAAGAGCAAAAAGAAATATTTTAAAAAAAGTTTATATAAAGGGTGTTTCAAAATAGTTTACGAACTTTGGATTGAAATAAAATAAACATTATATTTGGTCATTGGATAGGTTAAGGGCAGAGCATGAATATGTCACTCACGAAGAGCGCGCTTACTACGAGCCGCTCCTAGCTATGAATGTGTTAGTGTGACTAACATTGTTTGTATTAGTGTGTGATGTATACCAATACGAACTCAGGAGCGGCTCCTGACAAGTACTTCACAAGTGCGATTTCATACTCTGGTTAAGGGTGATCGGAGAGAGTCAAAGGCGGAAGATAATGATTCCAATCGATAGTTCTTCTCAAAATAGTTTAGGTTCAGGAATGGAAGCCGAGATCTAGCGATTCATGATTGAACTGATTTTTTATGGGTTTAATCGATGAAAAAATAAAGAACCTGAATAAATCGATGTTTATTTTATTTCAATTCAAAGTTCGGACACTCTTTTTATACATCCTTTAGTTTATTTGTGAAATTATGAGGTTTGCATTTTGAAATGCAATTCGAACAATTTTCGCTCTCGCAAAATTATGCAAACTACACAAAATTCCATATCTATGGTTAAGTTATAAATTGGTTTTTGAATACCAATCTCAATTTCAGTGAATTTTGCGGAAAATAAGTTAAACACATTGATTTGCATGCATTATCCAATGTTCGCCAATGCGTTTATGTAAATAGAGCAAGTTGTTGATGTTAATGTTAATTGTATGTCTCACCTATCGACCGAAATGCAACACAGATGCAATATACTAGCTGTTGAAAAATAGACATCCAAACTATTCCATAAATCACAACACGCTTGTCCAAACGGCCATCTATTTTGTGGATAAAAATATTAAAAAAGTAAACAAAATATCAATATAAGAAGTTCTATGTATTTTTCCAGATTACTAAAATCATTGCAAAATATAAATATTATACTTTAAAAGAAGGCTTGAAGAGAAAGTAACAAAAAAAAAAAACGAAACCAGGTCATCACTTGTTCAAGCACAAAATGTATGTGCAGAAAAAGAATGAAAATATTGGAAATTGGCGCACTTTTCTTGGTCTTCCCATCATACAATCAAACATCACACTTTAGAAATTTCTTTGTGTAAGCACTTATGTAGTTGTGAATAGAGTTTTTCCTTTCTATTTCTCTTTCGTACGATGCTTTTCACTCAAGTGTACTCAGAGCACAAATATTGATGCAAAAGATGTGCGACAATTTTTATTCAGTGATTTTTTTATTCGCACTCTTTATTGGCTTGTTTATCGTTGCATATAAACGATTACTTTTTTATTCAAATAAATGTTAGATTTTTTTTGTTTGCATTGTGGCAGCAAATCACCATATCTGTATTTAATTGATGTAGATAAATAAATTACGAAAAAGAAATAATACCCATTTATATGTAGTATTCATAAAAGATTGAATGGTGTTTCGTAAATGATTCCAACAGAATCTTCGTATTTGTGCGTCGCTCGAATTGGCACCAAAAACATCATGCATATAGTGCCATTATTTTCTGATTGTTAGACGAACATAAAAGCGTTTGCGATGATGGTTAAAAGAACTTTGAAATCCAACAAAGTTAAACATGCAATGCAAATGCAATGTCAACGTTGTTTGGGATTTTTGTAAGATAACATGAGAAGAGACTAATAGAAGAAAGAAAAATATTCACATTGAGTGTGTATCATAAATAAAAAATCACACCAGCCACTTATTGCCCCAAGATGTGTGCGCACGAACCAAACGATTGCGAAAAATGTAGCAACAGAGATAATGAGAGAGAGCGAGAAAGAGAGATGAGTGAGTGAATATGCGATGCTTGCGTTGATTATAATAAGGACAGATGAAGAGGTGTCTCTTTTATGTTAGTTTCTTTTTCTCATTTCAACACTTTGTGTATTGTGAATACATATGAATATTTTTCATTTTTTTGTCTCATTGCACAGACATTTTCATGGCAAAAGATGAAAACGACGAAGAAAACGGATCCAAGAAAAAAAAACGCATTCTTTCAATCGGTTATCCAAAAAAAGGAGAAGAACAGAAGAAATTACATACATATATTATATCGTATATATGAAATCCATTAGAGGCAAAACAAACCGACTGTAAACGAAGCACTGATAGAACGCTGTGCTATTGACAAAATAGCTACATTCATATTTCACCGGCTTTATTCATTTTTTCATAGACAAGTAAACTTGAGTGAATGCCTTCAACGAATACAACCACACACACACACACACATAGCATATACACACATTCACTGACTAAAACACATCCAGAATGAAAGACACAGCACCAAATTCCTGAGATATAGATAGAAAGCGAAATGGATGACAAAACTGATGTCGAGCAACACTGAAGAAGAAGATGAAAACTGTATACAACTATAAAAAATGGCACTAAAAATAAACGCTGTTGACATAACAGGCATCACTATATAAAAACTCAAAACAGTTATATCGCCTTCGTTGTTTGTGTTTATTTTCTCACTTTGTCAGGCTATTGAGCAACAAAGATCTACGTGTTTTTCTTACGATTACAAACGTTATCATGTGCTTCTTCAATACATTCTCGCTTTCTCAATTTCGTCTTTTTTCGCTCAGAACCGGCAAGTTCAATATTTCCATCACTACTTCTGCCATTGATGGCAATGTATTCGCTTAACATTGACCGATTAATAATTATACACTTTCCCCCTATCACTTTTATCGCTTCTTTTTTTTTCTTGCAATATATCTTCCCATTGAAGTGGATTCTAGGATACCAAAAAATGGAATAATACCAGACCAAAGAAACCAGTTCAACTAACGCAGAAGTCCACCCACTGACAGCGCTTGCCGCACATAATATGTCGCTTGATAAAAGCCACATAGTATATTATGACTGAGATTGAACATGCAAATCCTCTTACAATAAACACACATCCCGAGATAATGCTTTGATTTTTCGACGTTCAAATATCAAAACTGAAATGATCGATGTAACTGTTCTAATTTCCGTTCTCTGTGATCTTGTGCAAATGCAATGTTTTTTTCTCTCTCTTTTACTCTTGTTCCTTTGGCATATTCCATTTATCAATACAAAAAAACAACACCATCAATGTTTTGGCTCTTGATTTCAAAATAAAAAGTCCAACGTAAAAGTGCAAATGCGCATTTGTATTCAATATGTGTAAATGTGTCGCATACAAATCAAACGAGCAAATGTGAGAAAAATGAAAGTGACGTTTCTTTCGTATCGATTATAACATTGTATGCAAACGCATTGAGTAAAATTTTGAGGGCGAAAAGAAAATGTTCTTTTCTATTTTCATTTTAAATTCGTCATCTCTCAAAAGCCATTTCTAATTTTAATATCAAGATTCATCCGTAGTCTGTTCTCATTCCAAATATTCAAATAAAAGATTCGGTTTTTAAGACTATTTTTAAACATATAACTATATCATTCACACATGCATATAAATCAGATTGCTATTCTAAACGTAAACGACCGTTACAAATAAGATACAGTCAGTGCTCTCGGATTTCGTGTTGTTCGCCCGTTTTTCTATTAATTTTTTTTTTTTTTGATGAAGATTCCACTTTGATTTATGATGCATGTATTGCAAAAAGTCAATTTACTAAATGTGAAACGAAGATGGAAAAATCATTTTTAATTATATCGATAGAGAATCAATTTTCATGTTAGAAATAGTCATATTGTCGAAGGCAACGAACGACGAATTGCCCCAAATGAATTTTATGCTTCTGTCGCTAAATTATTATTGCCCATCAGAAGCAAACTATATAGCCTGCAATTAGTAAACGATTTACATCAGACATAATATGTTTGCTCAAATATGTTTATTCATATTCGCAATATTTCATTATAATGCATATATGTGCCGATGTGCGCAAAGCCGAGAAAGAAACAAGGATAAAAGCGTGGAGGGAGAGCAATACGGCGTATAATTGGCATATTCATGAAGACTTCGGTCGGTATCCAAGCTGTGAGAATTGTGAGGAAAAATTATGTGAACCGTGGCGTGCGTATTCGGTAATGAGCAATGAAAGTGAAAAGAATTGAGCAAGCATTAACATTTTGTGGTGAGATCAAGCAAATATATATTGATACATGTAGAGTAAACACCACATGATACACACATGCAATGGAATGATATACCGAATAAATTTGAGCCCATTTTTGCGGCTTCAAACCGATAAAGTGTGAATAGAAAATAGCAAAATTACCGAAATATATAGAAGACAACTGTGAAATAATTTAAACGGCAATAAATTAATAAATTTGTTTTTGTTATATTATTTTGTTTTTGTTTCTTTATTTTCGTTGTTATTTGGTGTGAGAAAAAAAAAAACGTTGAAGGCGATAAACGTTGGCAGAATGCATACAGCGAGAAAAGACGAGAGAACACATCAGGCAATGACGGCGCGTTTGAATTTAATGACTCATGGCAACACAACAAAAATCAATATATTGCCATCATTTATTACGGACAAAAAACACATTCAATATTACTGTGTCGTATGCGCGCTGCACGCGCAAATGCTACGCTATATTGAAATAGAACAAAAACAAAAAGAGCCAAAAGTGTGGATGAAATGATGACGACGACGACAAGCGTGTGGCTCAGTTGAGTTGAGTTCAATTAGATGCCGATAAATTAATTAACATATACTGATCGCAAGCACTTTCAACGAGTTTTTTCTAAATCGAATGTGTGTAAATATTTGCGCTGCGCAACTGTGCACATAACCATCATAATCATGATCGTGGATATTTTCATAAATTCAATGATGCAGCATGAGTTGCGCCCGTTTAAATTGTATATGCGTGCCCGCTCTCTCTCTCTCTCTCTCTCTCTCTCTCTCTCTCTCTCTCTCTCTCCCAATCTCTTTTCACCAAATAGAAAACGATTATTTTGATTGTAGCTGGCGTAATGCGACTTGATGCTTGAGCCGATGATTTATGAATGTCTGTGATTTTAGCAAAAGTCGATTTCATTTCATGAGGTCAATTTCAAAACGAAAACAAAGATATATTGTGATATTGATGCCAAAACAAATGTGTCTATGTTATTATAATATATAAAATTGTAAATGGGTATGTATGAGAGAAAGGGTGAATATTGAAGTATTTTCAAAACAACAAATAGCTAGTTCATCATTTGAATTCACAATGGAAAATGGTTTTCGTTTGTGCACGGCGAAATTGTTAATCGAAATGGCAAATACAGCATCAAATCGAAATGTCAGTGTTCGATCAGTTGTGAAATTTCTAGATTTCATTGCAAATAAAATGCCAAAGACACACGACACATACAAACGCATTGATCCGATTAACCAGCAAATGCAACGAAAATCAGATTCGATGTCACGTTTTATTCAGAAAGCAAACGAACGAACAGCAAATAAATGGTTGAGGACGCGATGAATTGCGTCGTCGTAACCGTTGTCGTCATTACAATGGTGGTCGAGACACTGAGCAAATATCAGGATATAACAATAAAATTTATTCAACTTAAACGACTGTATAAAAGCTTCTTTGGTGCAGCTGTTTATTCTACAAGTATTTTTGGAGCATTCACACATGCCAGCCAAAGGCATCATCGGTAACATGGTATTTGGAACAAATCAAAAGTGATAAACGAGTATTTACAATAAAATGCAACAACAACATGACAAAACATCTCAATGGGTGCACATTTTTAATCACAAAATCATAAACCAAATAAGCAACAGCACTTGGGAATTCCACATTGATACTATTTACTATTTGATTGTGTCGTTAAAAGTTTCGTTTCTCTCTCTCTCTCTTTTTTCGGTGCCATAAATGCGGTAGTAAAGTAATGATCGGGGCTAGATTTTTGTGATGTGAGTTTTGTTTGAATTGTAACACAGGTCGTATTGCCGATTCAAAGTATCATAAACACATGTTAGTATAGAGACACTAATATCAAGTGGCAAATGAGCGAGTGAGTGAGTAAAAGAGAACGAGTCACAGAGAGAGAGAGAGAGAGAGAGAGAGAGAGAGAGAGAGAGAGAGAGA